AAAAAAAAAAAAAAAAAGCCTTCAAACACCAATTAAAACAAGTTTTGGTCATATTTTCGCATACAGATTGAAAATTCAAACTTTTAAATATCACTGCAAATCAACCACCCAAACTTTGAGTCTCTGTGATGCAAAAGATTGAGCTTAATTTTAATACTGAACTTTGGGTTGAGGAAGCAAATTCTTTACTTTTTTATTTATATCCATATTCAGTGTTACTGTACCCAAGATCGGAGATTGATGAAGTGATTGGGTACAGTGTTACTGTACCCAAGATCGGAGATTGATGAAGTGATTAAAATTGAGGCACACTGGGTTTATACTTGTCACACTGGGTTTATACTTGTCACTTTTATATCTATCAAGAAGAGTCATGAATCACTGTTATGATTTCTGATTCTCAGATCTTTGTGGGTGTGACTGAAGATTCTGAGCATGATCAATCAAACTATTTCTTTAAGGGAAAGACACTCTATTTTAGATGGACCATCTAAATTGGAAGATGTTATCTTGCTCTGATACACTGAGTCAAAAAATGAATTCTGAACAAAACCTTCCTCCTCTCACAATTCTTAACCCTCCAGCAGAATTCTCCAGCACTACACATAAAGGAAAGTATGGATCTGTTGTTTGGGGATGGTTATATAGGTGTTCCATTTATATTTTAACAAACTCAGAGAGAACCTAGGAAAGATTCCATGGATGGAAATCCTAAAGGGGAAAACAACTCAAGAAGCATGGGAAACTCTGAAAAATGCTATCATAAAAGCCCAGTCCAGCACAATACCACTGAAAAAGAAAAACAAGAAATTCAAGAAGAAACCAGCATGGCTGCACAAGATCTCTCTGATAAACTGAAAGACAAAAAGGACAAGTAAAAAAATGGAAAGAGAGATGCATAACTAAGGCTGATTATCAGCGGACAACCAGAACATACAAAGATGAAGTCAGGAAAGAAAAGGCTCAGAATGAATAAAGACTTGCAACAAAAATCAAGGACAATAAAAAAAAGTTTCTTTCAACATAGTAATAACAAGAAAAAAGTCAAGGAAACTATAGGTCCACTAAAGAAAGAAGATGGCAAGGAAGTAACAGGCAGTAGGGAGAAAACAGAGCTGCTTAACTCATTATTTGCATCGGTCTTCACACAAAAAGAAAGTATAGCCAAACATACTAAAAAAACTATTGCAAAAGACAAACTAAAAAGAAAAATTAAAATAAGCAAGAAAATGGTAAGAGAACACCTATTCAACCTTGATGGATATAAATCTCCAGGATTAAATCCCAAAGTTCTGAAGGAGCTGGCAGATGTTATCTCAGAACCATTGCATCATATCTTTCAAAAATCCTGGAGCACCAGGGAAGTACCTGAGGATTGGAAAAAAGCTGATGTGGTTCCCATCTTCAAGAAAGGGAAAAAAACTGACCCAGGAAACTACAGACCAATCAGTCTAACATCAATACCTGCGAAGATCCTGGAAAAGATAATCAAAAAATAGATCTGCGAACAACTAGAAGCAAACAAAGTTATAACCAGTAGCCAGCACAGGTTTGTTAAAAACAGATCATGCCAAACAAATCTTATTTCATTCTTTGATAAAGTGACTAAATTAGTAGACCAGCGAAATGCTATGGGCATAGTATACTTAGATTTCAGTAAGGCATTTGACACAGTAGACCACAACCTGCTGCCTAGTAAGCTAGAAAAAGGTGGGACAGACAACATTACCACCAGATGGATTTGTAGCTGACTGACAAATGGTACTCAACAAGTAGTCCTCAATGGTAGTACATCCACATGGACAGAAGTAGGCACTGGGGTACCACAAGGCTTCATCTTATGCCCAATACTCTTTAATATCTTCATAACTCATCTAATTTGCAGATGACACTAAACTGGCAGGAATAGCCAACACCCCAGAAGACAAGCTCAGGATTCAAAAAGCACAATGGGCCCTATCCAACAAAATGAATTTTAATGTGGAGAAAAGCAAGTTTTTACACTTAGGCAGGAAAAATCAAAGGTATAAGTACAGATTAGGTGAGACCTGGCTCAAAAACAGTAACTGTGAGAGGGACCTTGGAGTCCTAGTGGATGATCACTTGAATATGAGCCAGTAGTGTGCAGCAGCAGCCAAAAAATCTAATACAATCCTGGGTTCTATAAACAAATCAAGATCACACAAAGTATTAGCACCATACCTGGAATACTGCAACCAATTTCTGTCACCATACTACAAAAAAGATGTTGAGCCTTTGGAAAAAGTTCAGAGAAGACCAACTAAAATGATCAAAGGCCTGGAGACTAAAACATATGAAGAATGGCTGCAGGACTTGGGTTTGGCTAGTCTAAAAAAAAGAAGAAATAGGGGTGACATGATAGCAGTATTCCAGTATTTGAGGGGCTGCCACAAAGAAGAGCAGGTCAAATTATTCTCCAAAGCACCAGAGGGCAGAACAAGAAACAATGGTTGGAAACTGACCAAAGAGAGAAGCAACCTGGAATTAAGGAGAATCTTCCTAATAGTGAGGACAATTAACCAGTGGAATAGCTTGCCTTCAGAAATCGTGGGTGCTTCATCACTGGAGGTTTTTAAGAAGAGGCTAGACCAGGGGTGTCAAACTGCCGGCCCGCAGGCTGGACGAGGTGTCACGAGGAAACCGCGCCCACCCCATTGCCGACAATGGGGAAAACGTTCCGATACGTCACGTGACATCACGTGACATTGTGAGTTTGACATGTCTGGGCTAGACAATCACTTGTCTGAAATGATATAGGTTCTCCTGCTTGAGCAGGGGGGCTGAACTAGAAGATCTCCAAGGTCCCTTCCAGCTCTATTCTATTCTAATTCTATTTCTGAAAATGTAATGTTCTGACTAGGAGGCACTCAAACTGCAAAGCACAAAACAGGAAGTCAGAGTCAACCAATCAGCATGCAAGATGCCCACCTTCACACATCGTGCAGTTGGGATTTGGGAGGTGTTTGCATTAGCCCATCTGAAGCTATCTGCAACCTACACTTACCCAACAATCCCTTTGCAACATAAGTATGCAGTTGCAGGCCTTTAGACTACAAAATGAGGCAAGGTTCTTTAAAACTTCAGATAGTTCCTCCAGAATGGGCAGAGCTAACTATGGCAGTATAATATTATTTCAAATACTTTAGTGTTGCTGGAATAATGGTTTTATGTGTTCCTACTAGGAGAAAGCTTCGGCTAGTAATAAATCGGTACACTGCGTGCCTTAACAAAAAAATTTCTTGGCCAGCACTTAGAAAACTTTCACAATAAACGAAGTTTCCACTGTCATGTGCAAAAGGCCAAGTTGCTTGGATTCACATATATATTAAGCCATTACGACATCCTAGGTCCTTGGCAAGAATTGATATGTACTGTAAGAAAGCCAATACCGGCTAAAGAACTGGTAACTGTGACTTAGCATTATTGTGAACCGATAATAATCAAGCACAGTTAGAATGTAAGTGATGTTTTGTATATTCACAAAATATGTCGCAATTCTAAGTGGCAATTCTAAAGAAAAGAAACTAGCCAACCTTTTTAAACTGATAAACTGCTTCTTGGAATAGCACGTTGCTTGTGCAACAATATAATGTACAATAATGTCATTCATTGGGGTTGCTATCCTCTCAGCAGCTACCTATAATTCTTTTTCTCAGTACGGATGTCATTTTTGGAAAAGTGCCTTGTATCGCTATTGCTAAATGTGGAGGAGCCAATAATCCTAATACATTTCACTCTTTTCCCTAGCACTGACCATTTGCGTAGTTAATGAACAGGCATCTTCAGATGACACCCGTTGCGACCGAGATGCCTTTCTTCTTTAAAAACGATGGTGCGAATGAACAAGGTCTTCCTTCACAGCGCCTCCCCTTAAGCGCTGCCCGTCACCAGTTCTTCCGCGCAAAGGAAGCCTCGTCCCCGGAGCAAAGTTGACCGGGGAGCGCAGCCACTCTCCTTGCCCGGGACATGGGAACGCATCCTCACATCCCGAGGAAGAGAAGGCAGCGGCGGGAAAGGTTACTTACCAGGTTAATGAACGTCAGAAATTTCCAGCTGCCTCCATAGGTCTGGTGCGCTGGCATGTCAATGGCCTTGTAATTGCACAGGATGGAAAAATAGGAGAGGAGGATGGCGACCCGCAGCACCTGCCCGGGTACGAGCGCCATGTTGCGTCTCCTTCCAAAATAAGTAAGGCCTTTAGCGCCGAAGGAACCAAGGCGGCTAAAAGCGAAGGGCGCGCGCTTCGCTTGCGGCTCAGGGCGCGCGCGTCAGGCGCTCAGCAAGCGTAGAGCCGGGGGAAGCGGCGCGCGAAAAGGTCCGCGCGCATTCGGCGCCGCTCAGTGTTCTCCACCACGGGGGATGAAAGCAACGTGAGCGGAGGCATAGACTACTGGCGTGTAGACCCGACCCACAGTGCCCAACTTCCGGAGTGAGTTTGGACGCCATGTTTCATGTTGCCCAAAAAAGAATTGCCCATAAGAAAGAGGGAAGAGGACTCAACCTGGGCGCCAACGTGTCTCCGCCACTTCCTCCTGCAGGCAGCAATACGAAGTTGCAGTAAGGCGAATGAATGCGTACGTAGTTTCCATCGCTCCCGTGCCACTTGCGTTTGCTTTTACTCCCAGTGAAACAGAAGGCGCTTCGGAAGGTTGAAAGTTGAAGTACGCGTCGCCTTGGCTGCAATTTAAACGGTGTTCTGCATCGAATTGGGACTGCGTTTCCTGCTCGGCTTTCACCTTTCCATATAAATAGGAAAATAAACCGCAAGTTCCGCCGGCATAAGGGGGCTGATGTCCTCAGCCTCATCGGAGCCACTGAAAGTGGCAGAGCAGTTTTCATTTATTTAAAAGCAAAACGAACGCACACCCACACAACTATTTTGCATTGCATTATCAGTTGCAAGAACATCCTTTCCTTTTTTTCCCCCCAGAGAAATGAGATTGTCCATTTATAGCTCGACTAAATTTCTGTTCGGTTTTTTTCCCCCAGATTTTTCATAGGGAGAGCGCGCTTATTTGCACCTCAAGTTTAAGTGCGTGTTGCTCTATTCAAAGGAGGAGGAAGCTTTGTCTTCAGGCATGCAGATCATGATTCTCAAACTCTACAGCAGTGATGGCAAACCTTTTAGAGACCAAGTGCCCAAACTGTAACCCAAAATCCACTTATGCATCATCGGGTGCCGGGTGGGTGTGGCCCATTGGCTGGGTGTGGCCCATTGACTGGGTGTGGCCAATGGGGTGGGTGTGGCCCATTGGCTGGGCGTGGCTGCGGTGGTAACGGTAGACTGGCTGGGACTAAAAAGTTCAATCAATCAATTCTAACTTTGCAAGATCTTTTTTTTCCGTGAGAAGTTGAAATTGACTGATCGATTGAACCTTTTTTTTTTGCACACAGCAGCGGAGGCCTAAAGCGAAAAGGTTTTATAAAACCCCAGCTAAAGGCCTAGGACTGGGGTGACGTCAAGCGTGCTCACAGAGAGGGCTCTGCGTGCCGCCTCTGGCACCTGTGCTATAGGTTCACCACCACTGCTGTACAGTAACACTACAATCAAGGGGGTCATACAGATTTCAGATTCGGTTCAACCCTGGGAATATCCAAGATGTGGGGTGATGCTGATTGCTGGGCTCGGAAATATTCTCAGAGTCACCTTCTCCGTCTGACTGCTTTCTTAAGTTATTCCTAACCAGGAGTTATTCTAATGCACATGTTCATCTCAAAACCAGCTGTCTTTCCTGATTCTTGTTTTCCACAAAGCTACTAAAAATAAAAAAATCTGTTAATGGGATAAAAATTAGTTCAAAATTCCCCCAGGTGGCATTGCCACTTGCGTTTGCTCTGTTTTATACAAAACAATTGTGTCACATTCAGACAGTTACTTAGCAAACAGCATTATTATCTCATGCCTCTTAAGCTTGCAAAAGATTGAGCCATCTAGAATATCAAAAACAACATATTCTCTTGATAAAGCGGATAAAGGAGGAATACTCATGACCATAAACAAGCTGGATTATTGAAACAGTGCTCCAATACCTCATTTTAGAGGTATTGAGGTACAGATGGTGGTACAGATAGTGAAGAATACCAAAAGGAATTATAAGACTTTCTGAAGAATTTTCTCCGAAGTGCACAAAATGTACCTTGAGAAAGTTATTCTGGCATCTCACTTGGGAAGGTGGGCTGCAATACAGTAAACATGGATGAAGATTTCCAAGGTCCCTTCCAACTCTGTTCTATATTCTATATGTCTTTTTTTGATGATGTCTAATAACCTACTAACAAACCCCAGAATTCATGAGATACTGTAGTCAGATTTTGCAAGATTTAGTCTTGTGTGAAATTTCTCAAGATCTTGTCAATCGATTAATTGTGAATATTTAACTGCTTTGAACTTTAGTTTAGAATATAGCAGACAATACCAATATACAATTCTTTCTGCTCAGAGTCATCAAACAAACTCTCATGCATATCCGGTTATAGTTCAGTATTCACTTTATATGTTTTTCCACAGTGAGCTGAAAATAACAGAATGAAACCCCACAGAATCAAATGCAAAATCTTTCACTTAGAAAACAGAAATCAAATGCATAGGTGTAAGATGGGGGATAATTCTCCACAAATTAGTACTGGTGAGAAAAATCTTGGAATAGTAGTTGATTATCGATTTAATGTAATCAGAAGGGTGATGTGACTGCGAAAAGGCAAATGAAAATTTTGGCTGCCTGAAGAGAAGCTTTTAAGTAGTTTTTAATAATGAAAAGTAATAGTGTTGCATTATTCTGTATTGAGCAGGTCCCTTGAGTCCGGTTCGGAGCACCACACTTTAAGGAGAGTTCAAATAAATTTGAACTAATAGAGCAGTGTTGGCGAACCTATGGCACAAGTGCCAGAGGCGGCACCCGGAGCCCTCTCTGTGGGCACACGTGCCGACGCCCCAGCCCCGCCCCCTCCACACCAGCAGCCCCCCTGGAGGAGAGTCGCCCCCAGGCACGGCCCGCTTGGAGCAGCGCAGCCAATGACATGGCAGCCGGGCAGTGGGGACAAGACTCTGCCCTTGCGCCCTGTCGCAAAAAGTTGATGCTGCAGGGCACGGGTGGAGGGCATGGCCACCATGGCGCTGCCGTGGAGGTGGTGGTGGCTGGCCTTCCGGGTGGGTGGGGGTGGGCAGGGGTGGGGCAGTGCAGTGCGGGGGTGAGGTAGTTTTTGGGCACTCGGTCTCTAAAAGGTTCGCCATCACTGTAATAGAGCAAAAAGCAACAAGAATGACCAGAGTGCTAGAAACTAAATCCTGTGAAAAGACATTGAATGATTGGCAATGTTTAGCCTTGAGAAGAAGAGGAGAATGGTGTAGGAGGGAGAAGTATGTGAAATAACATTACAGAAGAATGTCAGGATCTCTTCTCTTGTTCCAAAATGTAGGGGAGGAAAAATGGATTTAACTGTCAGAAAGAAAGATTTTGGTTGAATATTAAGAAAAACTTCTAAAACAACTTATTAAGAATATATTCATCATGATCAACCACTGATTTATTAATGACTGTCAATTTTCATTGCCTGCAGTTCCTATACTGCATTACATTATGAGCTAATATTTCCCTTGTTCATTCTAAATTAATGAATATGTAATACTTCCTTCTGAAATATTGTGTACTGCATGCATCTGGTGAAAGTGATTAGCATCTTGAAAACTTTAAGCAATAAAAAAATGTCTTTAAATTGCCATAATATCCTTTGTTGCTTTTATTGCAGTAAATTAAGTAGTTGCCATCAAATCATTGTTAACTGTCTTAACAATGGCATTGTCATGGTTCCAACAGATGAATCTCTTCAAAAGAACTTCAAGGCATTGTTTTCCTGAAAGAATCTTTTATTCGAGAAACAAAGTATCGGCACTACATAGTTGAAGCCAAAACCTGAATTCCCCCTCCCCTGGCACAATTCCCTCCTCCAATTAACTGTCATAAATCACATTCCCCAATTAATTTGAGGTGTGGGCTTTCTCCCCATCTCTCCTGCCCGCCAAATTTCTATCAACTCTGGACCTAATAACCTTAGGTTCCCCACGGCTGAGTTATTGTTATGACTAGCTGGACTCTCATCCACATTCCCCCTCCCAGCATCAACAAACTCTAAAAGTGATAGAGAAAAGATGGCTACATTTCCATCTGTTGACAAAGCAAGAACATCCGATGTTAGCAGCATTGACAGGTATGATATAAACAAGTTTTTAAAATCTATTGGCTCACATCTCCTCCTTGTTTCATGACGCACTTTGATAATCCCCTTCCTTTACTGCTGCTCAATAATTTCTGATGCGTCAGTCTCTAGGATCATCTACTCATAAGTTCATTCTTGTGTCATCAATGATTTTTTGTAATGTATAATAAATGCATGTTATTTTTCTTAATAAACATTGATGTGTTACTTTTGTTATCACTATGTCCACATGCATTTCACAATACTACCATTTTCTTCTTTTCTTATTTATTCAAATACTCCATGTATATGATGTCATATGTATCCAAGTATTATCATTTGCTCAATGTGATTGAGATTCCTTCTTTTTCCTTACATGAATTAAAGTAATATATTTTGGTTTTAACATTTAAATGACATAAATAGTTTTGTTCTGTATCAAAAAAATCTCTGTGAATAACATCTGCACTAAAATCTGCATTTTCTTTTTGTGGGAAAGAAAAGAAATATAGATTAAAGGAAAATATAGATTACATGTGTTACTTCTGTGAATTCCACTGTCTGCTTTCAGAGAATACTGCATTGGATTGTGTTTTGTTTTTAATAGATCAGGTCCAATTAAATGTGTTATGAAATTATAAAAGGATACAATACCCCATTTTATGGACACATTCCAAGCAAATGTCTGCAAATAGCCTGTGATTCAATGGTTCCTCAGTTAAGTGAAAGCCTAGCATCTAGGAGACAATGCAAGTAAATAGCTTTTAGAAATCTGTAATCTAATTGTGCAGGATCCTAGTCCTGTGACTTCTTGGAGAATTCACTTTTTATTAAATAGTTTATATACACAACAGTAGTCTAGGCTGACATTGTTTTTTAGCTGTGCTATTGAAAAGTGCTCAGGTCTGAAAATATATCAACATTTTTTCTCACATACATGCCTGTATGTCTGACTCTGCATTCTTTCTCTGTGTACAGTACCTCCGGTATCAGTCTATTATTATTATTATTATTATTTATTGAATTTATATACCGCCCTATCTCCCTTACGGGACTCAGGGCGGTGAACAGGCGATAATAAAAACCACGATAAATATATGCAAG